TGGGCAAGTCCAAGACTGAAGTTGCCTTCAGCTTGAATCTGCCGGAGCATTTGGGGGAAGCTATTTCTGTCTGGCCACTGGCAGGAAGCCGGCGACGATGTTTTGGACCTGCTGGAGTGTCTCAGCTACGATGGGCATCGAAGCTATGGGGGTTCGTTCAAGGAAGCTAAAAAACAGAGACGTCTAAACTGTCCGGTGTCGGTTAGGCAACGATTCCGAGTTCGGGCCGCGCCCTGCGGTCCGGAGAGCCCCCAGTTTTTGCAGCCTTGTGCAAGAGCAAGAGCCTCTCCAAGCCTTCTGCCCCCGCGTGCTGAGGTTCTTCATCAGCCGATACAACCACGCCACTTGTCTCACTTTGTCTGGAGGGCCAACCCGACGAGCCTTCGCTTCTGCCACCTTCCTAAGGTCAATGAGGCCTTCCGGGACATCGACGGCGGTGTGCGTGATGGCGACAATGCTGGCGGCAACGCCAACACCACTAGCAACGGAGAGCTCACCTTGCCCTCCGGCAGAAGAAATATCCTTCGCAGAGATGCTTCTGAAATTTCGAGCGCACAGCACTTGAGGGCACTTACTGCACCTATTGCGTACTTGTGAGATGGTCCAGGTCATGGTTTGTGTACTAGATTAATCAAGACAGGCCGTTACAGCCTTGGCCTTAGCTGTCCAAACACTCAGCCCAGAGCCAACCACAAGCTCACTTCAGCGAAGGCGAGAATTTGAGGCCGGCTTGAGGGACATCGGCTGCTTCAAGTTGCTTGTTCTACTTGGTCAGGTCAAGCACTCTGTTGTTCGGAAGGTTCGCAGAAGTGAGGTGGAGGCTCATGATTCTCGTTATGGCTCTAGACAAGCAGCTCGCGGATGAAAGTCTTCCCAACCCGATACAGATGGTAGCTGCTCACCCACTAACTACACTCCGAATCCCAGAGCTGCTTTTCTAAGCCCAACCTGGCAACTGAGCTTCACCTTGTGCCAACCGCGAGCCACGCGCCAGCTCAGGCGTACACAAGCGACTTGAACAATGGATCACTGTAGATGTGGGGCCTGGTTGAACGTTGTTGGTCTTTGTTGCACTCTGTTACGTGTCGATCTCCGCGTAGATCGGTTATTGACAGTTAAATTGCTTCATCCCCACGTTCATGCAGAAGGAAGCCGGCCAGCCTCTGTTCATTCTGGATCCTTGGACTCCTTTAAGTGGAACATCACACCCCTCGATTTCCCAATGACTCCCCTCCCCCACTCCCCTCTGAGGTTCAAAGGCCCAAACGAGAAGGAGCGAGTTGGCGCAGTTTTCCGGCCACTCGCCTTGGAGCTGGCGCCTTGCACCAAGCTTCCCGACCCCAAGCGCTTCCCTTCGAAGCTGCTGCATCAGGTATCTCGATCCCGGCGGCGAAGGCAACGTCTCCCTGCAGGAATGGCAGATCTTGGACCAACTTTGGAAAGAGCCTTCCGGCTGGCATTTGGCAAGAGCAAGTGACCACGCTGTCCTATGCTGTTCTTCTCCATGTGCATGTCCACCAACCTCAGTCCGACCCGAGCTAGTCACTGCACACCTCTTGCTTACTACACTTTGCGTTTGACTACGGAATCATGAATCATCAGCACCGCCCAGTAGACATGTTCTCCTTCTGAGCACAGGTTCGTTCTGAGCATCCAGGACGAGCGGGTTCAAAACGAAACGGGGTCCTGTCCGAGGGTGCAACTAGGACCTTTGGGGGCTTGGTTTGGCAAGTTGCAAACATGCCGTACCCGGTATCAGTTGAACTGTAAAGCATGCTGTGCTTGGCGCATTGGTGATTCGCGATGACATTTCGCGATGTTCGTCGCGTCCTGTTGGCAAAGCGCGCTTGGAATGCGTTCTTCCAAAGCAAGGGGATGCCATCGGACTATCGCCGGCATGGAACAGCCTTGCAACGTTGCCAAATGCCTGCCCAACCCTCCCCCCTCCCCGCCACCCACCACCGTGACCACCCGCCCCTCCCCCCTGCCCACCCACACCCTGGCACCCAACCGCCAGCACGGATGACAAACTCCTAGACCACTCACACGTTCGGAAACATTGAGTGGGCAACGAGGGGAAGTTGATGCCAAGGTTTGTCTTATGCATCATGCGCTTTTACGCTGGCCCTGTGTACGTCACGGTGGCTGCGTGGAGAGTCTTCTCGCCCAACCTTCCTCAAGGAACCATTGCGGAACCACTTAACCAGGCTAGCAGCGCAAGCCCATAGCTTTTCTACGTGAGTTTGCGATGAACGTTTTGACCCTCATGCAGTTGCCTGCAAAGGAGTTTGTGCAGTTCTTGACCTTCGTCTTCGGTCCTGACCTGGACCCTGGGCGTCGAACTTCAACCCAAGCCGAAATCCCAATGCTGGAGCTTGTTGCAAGGGACTGCCGCAACCAGTTTGGGTATCTTGGCTAAGTTGCTGGGCTGAATACCCATTAGTTCCACACAGTCTCAGGCATTCTCAGGCGGCCACATGTCCCTGTAAGGGCTCCAGTCAAGGATTCCATGCGTTAAGGTTTATTCGTTTGAGGGCTGGCATTAGCCGATTCCGATAGGTTTGGGTGTCTTGGGCCGAAGGCGGTGCGGGCTATGCTCTTCAGCAAAGTCATGTAAAAACACATTGTCTGCGTGGCATCAGAGTGAGTGAGGGCAGGCCTCGAAAAAGCCTGAGAAAATTCACCAGTTATCCAGTGGGGAACCTTAGCTTGGGCGCGCTGGCTGAAGGATCTACCGCTAAATCCTCTTTGCAAAAATTTGCAAAACTAGCTTCTCCAAAATAGGTGTGCCTGCGCCAGCTGTGTGAATTCATATCTTGAAATCCGAAACTCTGACCGTACCTACGACGCTAGGGACAGCTTCTAAATCCAGCCGACAAGCCTCACAGTACGGCGTCCCAGGATTCATGTTCTCAATCATGCTGTGCCTGCTGTTAGGAAGAGGCTTGGATCACGCTGGATGACGATGAGAGTGGCGAACTCTCTGAGGCTGCACCTTGAGTGTCTTTTGCTGGCTGCCTTGATGAAGCACATGTCAGTTCCTTCACTGATATGTCGAGCAGAGTGGAATCCAGGCGCAACGTCGTGCAAACGTTAGGTATCTGCTAGTATCAGAATTTGCCCACGAGACACAGCGACAAGACACCTAAACACCAGTGTACAACCAGCACAACAAAAGGTTAAAGATAGCGTCTTGCTTGAAACAGTTCCAAGAATTCTCGGCCACACTTTCCCTACTGCAGGATGAGTGGAACAAGGCCGTGGCCGACATAGGCACGTGGTGCGTGGCATACTGCCATACCGAATTTTCCCTTGAAGTTACAGGTGGTGTGACCTGAAGTCCCTCTCAACCTACATCGAAACCTGCGAAGCCGATATCTTATTTATGCGAAGAACCTAAACGCCAAGCATGTCTCTCAAGACCCTGCGAAGCATGCGCTCGAAGGATACTTTGGCCCGTCCCGCGTGGTGTTCGCACTGCATCGCGGCCCAGGATAGATGCAACTAAAAAAGGTCACGGATCTTTACCCAAGCCCGGTAGATGCTAGGGGCTGCGGATAGGGCCTCTGAATCATCAGGATTTGCGAGGTCTGGAGTCCCAACCTGTTTAGATCCCCCCCTCACCCCTTTTGCAACTGCGTGCCTAAGGGTAGCTCCTAACTTTTCCGGAAAGGGCCTGGGCCTGGAGAATGTTTCACATGCTTAAAGGTTGAATCAAGCTGCGTGGTTCTTGAGGGTTGGCCACGCTAAGCGTGCTGCGCTCATCCAGGCTTTACAGATCAGATGCGTGTTTCAATAGATCGTCATGGAGCAAGCGAGGTTGGACGGCTCAGATGATGGGAACATCTCCTACGATGAGTTCAAGGTCTTGGAGAAGCATCGTGGCATGTAGAGTGTGGCATCGGCCGGCTTGCCATCAACGACCGCTGAGAATTTTCCATCCCGCTCCGCCCGCTGAGGTATAAGCCCAAGCGCCAGCTCGCAAAGAAGCCCTCCTAGACTGCCTCCTCCAAAGGACCTGAAGCTTCTGCAGGGGTTCTTTGGTCTTGCGTAGAGGAGTCCATTGTCAATGGCCTTTCTGCACTCCACCAAAGACAGGGACTGCAGTCTACGAAGATCTGTGCTGGCCTCGTCCCCGCCCCTGCCTCTCCAGCGGCTCAAGTTATTGCTTTGTGGCCCCCGCATGTCAGGAGCCAAGGCAGCTACAGAGTGAGGAGGGGTTACGTCCAGAGTGCCGAGTCACCAGCATCACACCAGCATCACCTGACTCCCCAGATCGTTGAGCAGAGCCCTGGCCTAGACACCATACTGCTGGTAGCGGCGCTGCCCTTCTGGAAGTGCAGAAACCCCAGACTCCGAAGCCTATTGATTCATTGAATGCTGTCCCTAGCCTTCTTCAGTTCCACAACCCCGCTTGTGCGCGCCGACAATCCCTAAGGGCTTGATGTTGATGCCGGTCACTTGGCAAGATCCGGCCTGGCGAAGTCAGACGGAGCTTGGGGCCCGTTTTGAATATTTACAAAGGAGTCCGGGCTCGAAGGCCAAATGTGAGTTGCGATTTTTAGATGTGCAAAGCGAGCAACTTTAGACTTCAGATATCTTGAGCTTTGCCACATCACAGCGTCTCGGACGACGTGTTGCCATGCGCAGTCTGGAAACCAGACCTCATGCCACAAAGGTGGTTCGCACATCGCAGCTCCCACCCCTCACCACACAACTCGACAATCCAATGCCTGAGGCTGAGGTGAATGTGTTAAACCAGCTCTCCCCCTCTCCCTCCTTCCCTTCACCCCCTTTCTCATCTGTCTCTCTCACACCACGAAGCCTGTCATTCTCGAACTCTCAGCTTTGCAGAGGCAGTGCGCTAGCACGATGCAGCGAATGTTGCTCCCACCTTCGCCCAAGAAGACGTCTCACTTCGAGGCATTCGAACAGCAAGCGCACAAAACGGCCGGGGCAAGCAGTCCACTTCGAAGCGCGAAACCCAATGCATCGCCGAGGCCTCGAAAGAGGAGCCTGGGCCCCATGCGATGGGGGGGCCCGGGTTAGCTGTGGAGAGTGCGGTTGCAAGTGCAAACAATAAGCTGGAGTCTGCAAAGAACTGTGGCCGGGTGAGGATTTAGATGTAAGTAGGACAAGTTGAGTCTGCGTTATTTTCGCAACTTGCCGCACATGTGAGTTTGGGGTTTGCGGTGCAGCAGAAGCTGTGTCGTCTGTCTGCTCCTACATGCAATGGCTGATTACCATAAGCTGCCTAAGGACTCAGATATGTCAGACGACACACACAGCCTGTTGGAGAAATGTACTTTTCAATATCTTGTTTTGGGGTTGGCTCCGGGAAGCCTCTCGGCCCTCCAGGAAGCCGTGTCGCAATCCTCTGGGAATGTAGAGACATGTGCTGCGGTTGCGGTTGTCCAAGGGTTTGGCATTCTTGGCTTGAGAAGGACTCCCTAAAAGCTGCCCTGCATCCCTGGAGCCCGGAATGTTGCGCTGCTGCGCAGTGCGGCCAAGTCTGACTGGTCGTTGAGCAGCCTGTGCCCTGTTTGTGGCGATTTCGAGATGAAGCCTTCAACGCAAACTAGCACTGAAATTAGAGAAGCCTGTGCAAAGAAAACTCTTTACCGGTGCAAGAGCTTGTGAGCGTTGCAAGTGCAGGTCTTTGGCTGCCATGGAGACCTTGGATGGAGCTCCTGTCTCGGCCCAGCACTCAGATTCAGTCGGGTCATTTTGCGTCTTCCGGGTTTGGGGGTCATGCTTAAAAGTAGAGCAGCATCTGCGATTACCGCATCAAGGCTGTTTTGAGGTTATCCGCAGGTCCCATGCAGACCCGGAGGTCCTTATTAGGGCTTACCCCTTCAGCGTGGCCGTAAGGTTCAAGGATCCATCTGATCGGCATGACAGAGCAGGTATACAATCACAACTCGGGTTGCACCATGTGGCAACTTGAGAGTGATTACAGCTGATGCGCAAACTGTCCGTCCGTCCATGAAGCATGTTTCTTCTAGATGGACTATGGGAAGCCTGGTTTGCTTCATGCCACATCTTGCAATGTGTGGAAACGGAGGTGGGCGGAAGGGCCAAGGTAGACAGGGCAAACAGGGAAAAGTCAGCTAGCCCGCGCTTTTGCAATCGGAATGGTCATCGGCAGAAACCTGCTGGACTCACACAACCCCAGACTCTTACACTTAAGTCACTTAAGCTTTCCAGAGAAGGCAGTTTTTTCGTTCTGTCTTCTGCATCAAGGCCGATGAGCTGGCGGCGGCCATAGCGGCCGAGGTGGGACACTTCGCTCCTGAAACCTGCGACTAGGATTTTTGGGGGCGAGGTTTAGCATCAGTTAAAGGTTCGGGATGGCCAAGGACCCGTGGACGCTTTGATCTTACAAACTGATGCCTTGCGTGTCCCTGTTCTTGCGAATCCGGCTTGCCTGACAGATATGCTCAACTCTTGTGCGCGGCATGCTTGCTGATGGCCAGGGGTGCTGCTTGCACATCGTGGACTAGAGCCCGCATCCTTGGGATCCCTAGTCATACTCGCTTGTGATTGTTTTTCTGGCTTGGTGGTGGCTTTTTCTTGCTCTATCGCTTGTGGCTTTTTTTGGAGGCTCTTGCTCGTGAATTCTTTGTCGTTGTTCAGCGCCAGTAATTGCCCTGCATGGGGTTCCAAAATCGTTAAATTCCTCTCTGGCTGGTTAGAAGCGTTTTGAACGCCATGGCGTGTTTTTGGGAAATGGATGGGTGCTCTGATGCTCAGCCAGAATCCAGGCTCCCTAACCCCAAACCCTAAACGCTAATTCCTAATTCTGACATGATTGGCCCCCTTTTTTTCGAACCCGTACCAGACTAGTGCCATGCAGTGTGTCCGACAGAGGTTAGCGAGGCAGGTGGAAAAAGAATCCTAATTCCTCGTTCCCTACACAGACACAGTCAGCTATTCTTTTATATTCGCGGGAGGGCCAGAAACCCCTCTCGAGCGTGAGCTGCGTTTTGTGGATAGTCGCAAGAGAGCCTGGCTATAGTCGCAAGTCAAACAGTTTTACTGTCACAAGTGAGCAAAAAGGAAAGTCACAAGTGATAAACTTTTGTAGTCACAAGTGAGGCGTTGGCCACCGTGTGTGTGTGTGTGTGTGTGTGTGCCAACTTTGGTCTTAAAGAGTCTTCCCAGCAGCTCGCACAGTCCGCAACAGGGATGACATCTCCAAATTGAATCAAGACGAGCACTGCCGAGCTCGAGACTTTGCCGTGCCTTTCGGGTTGCACAGGCTATTCGCATTTGCCAAGGGAGAAGAGTCATTTCCGGAAAGTATATTTAATCATGAGTTGACTCGAGTAGTTTTCTAGAATGCCTTTTATTAACACTCCCGATCGCAGGCTGCGGAGCAGGCTGCACGCCGGGCGCTGTCTGTGCCACTGCTCAGGCTACCATTTCGCACGCAACCTACGCACGCAGCACCTCGCAGCCATCTATCCATAGAAGCGCTTGGGAAGAAGATAGGGAGCTGCGCATGAACCCGACTATACTCGAGCAACAGCAGCGGCAGTGTATTGCAGAACCTAAGTTGAACCCGGCTACAAGAACATGCAAGAACAACGATGGAATACACGGCAGGCATTGCACCTGAAAGTTATATGGTGCTCATTGTGATTTGCTTGGAGTCTAGACGTCAAGTCTTTGCGGTTCCTCCCTGGTCCACAAATGTCCAACCATCACGACACCCGCCACCTGCCACATCACGACATCCGGCTGACCTGCCAGAACTCAGCGTATAAAAAACAGCATTGCAAGAGCGGCACAAAGGTCTAGACAGGTGCCGTTGAGTCTTGCCTCGAAGAACCCTTAAGAACCTTTAACAATGCATGGGGTCTCGTGGGCTGAACCGAGGCTCCTGTCTAGCTCTGGGAATTTGCGGCGTGAGCACATCATCACATCCCAAATCGCTCTGCCAAACAGTCGGCCGCCCAAACTTTCACAATCTTTTACACTTCTTCCCGACACGTTGTTTGGAAGCCCATTCGCGGTTACTTGAAGCTCAGCCCAAATGTTTGGTTGCAGGCAAAGAGCTTCGAGATGGCGTGAAGTAGCTTGAGCAAAAGGTACTCCGGCCGTGCGGCCGTGGGCATGTGGTCGGGTATTTCAGGCTTTTTTCTTGGAGAGTCAGGTGAGTTGAGTAAGACAGTTTTGGTAGGCCCGTGCATGAAGGACACTCGCTCATCCTCACTCTGTATGTGGAAGGAGGGCAGCGCTCAAAGTCTTTGCAGGCTGACGTAGGGTAACGTAGGTGAAGGTCCCCTTAAAAATGTTCACGTCATTAAAGGCTTGATCATGCAAGAAGGGCGTCATCCACTTAAAGGCCTTCTCATGGCCCCTTCACGGAACGTTTTGCTTTTCTATCAACTCCAGAACTGCACGAAGATGTTCCGGCTGCCTTTGCAACCTTTTCAAGCAATCTGGTGCCATGGGGACAGTTTGGTAAGGGGATTTTGGGAGAGAGGTTTGGTGAAATTGAGCTTGGCATGCTATGCTTCGGGCCCTTTCAGCTGCAAGAGTTCATGTACAGCGTGCAAAATGTGCAAAGCTGGACATGCCTAGCAGGTAGCAAAGCAACACTGCCACTGCAGGGGGCATTGAATGGCTTAAGCTGGTTGAGGGATCCTATGTAGCATAGGCCTGGGATCAGGGTTCGGAGTTCTTTTGATAGTCCATAAACTCTTCGATGTTGCAAGCAGAACCGTAAGAACAGCAAGGCGTGCTGAGTAGTCACACTCCCACACACTGCTGCCGCCATCTTGCACCACCTGCGGATCACGCATCACAGGCCCTGCAGATGTGCGACGGGGCATCTGCATCGTTGCGTTCTTCAGTCGTTCGTTTGATAGCACACATCCGCATCTTGTGATCATTGATGTGCATCAGTACATCGTGAGTGTCGTTGCTTCGCGAAGGCTTGCCTGCTCAGCCTCATGCCCTGAGGAGTCAAAACACAAAAAACCTCCCTATTGGTTGGTGCCTCGAGCCTCGGAGCTCTCCTGGCAGGATGGCGGCACCGCGCGGACAGGATGGGCGAGACGCCGCACTGCTGACCAGCCGCTTGGCACATCTTTCCGCCACCTAGCTCCTGCTAGAGAATCTGGCTCGATGATCGATCGAAGGTCAATAAGTTCTGGCCTATGAAGCCCTGAACCAGCCTCAATGTGAAATCCTCCCGCAGGTGAGCAGAAGCTTGAAGAGGCAAGGGCGCGGATCAATGGCGCCACACGCGCCTCCCTCGCTCCTCGGCCACGATGTCAGAGAAGGGTCCCATGCGGAGCCCCCAAAGGCCCCCAATCACCCTGAAACAAGCTTCTCAAGCAGGGCTCGTGCATTTCATCTCATTCTTCCGGTCCTCTGCGTCATGCTTTCCCAGTGTCCTTGTATGAACCCCAGCAGCTGTGCAGGAGACGGAGGAGACTGGCTTCCAAGTTCTTGGTGTTTCGGCCGAGCCAAGCCCGGGGAAGAGAGCTGCATAGGCCCTAGGCATGGAGGGAATACGACATAATGATGGCGGACTGTTCCCAAAGAGACTTTCTGTGCTGAACTTGCGCCTGCCAGCAGTCCTTTCTGATGATGCGCACTGGGGGTGTTTTTTCGGGAGTGGTACCTACTAGCGTGTCTTGCTTGCCCAAGTTGCAGTCCCGCAGCTCGGGCCAGTATTGGGTTGGAATGAAATCATCTCAGGTGAACTGGCCAGGCAGCGGGAAGGTATCGAGAGGATCAACGCTCACGTGCAGGCGAGTTGACAGCGTGCGAAGAACGCATGACACGTTGTTCGGATGACTATTGAGGTTTGCCATGCTACCAGTAGTTTGGAATTTGCTGGATGTCCGTCGTTGTTTTAATGGATTCGTTGCGAGCTGTCTCAGCTTAAGCTTGGGGTTTTCATCTCAAGGCATGACCCAGTCCCCAGCTGCTGCACATCAAGATAGCAACTTCTTTGCTCCTTGCTGCGAGCTAAGGCCACCGATGACAACATCTCCGGGGCACGGAGGGTTCTGGTTCAGATGTACCGGCGGGCCATGGCAACTCGAACCCAAGCCCTGTTGCGAGTCTGTGAAGCCGAACCTAGGGTCGAAACCCCGGAAGTCTGGGGGTGCAATCTGATAGGAAGGACTGAAAAAACCTGCCAAGTCAGAGTGGGAGTTGTCTGGATCTTGAGGCGCCGAGATTCTGGCATACTCATACTCAGAGAAACCATTTGGGGATTTTCAGCGGCGAACCTTCTCCCAGAATTCCTCAGCTATTCCAGGCTTTGTAAACTTTTGACTTTTCAGGCAGGGCACTGTAGCACCCCAGAAAAGCTGCTTCCGCAACCTGACCTCAAACATTAACATCTCCCCACCCCTCAGCAATCGCGAAAGATCCCGGCCTGTTCTTGGGCGAGCTTGAATGGTCCGCTGTAGTGTGTCTTCTAGGGGATGGGAAACTCGGTGTCGGTATCTCTGTCTCAAATTCGCGCAACCATTGTATCGCGCCCGATCTCCAAATCAATTTGGTAAGTCTTTTGTGAGGACGTTATGTAGTGACACACTCAGGCCAAGAAGATTGCCTTATGGTGCATGGTGGTGATCCTTCTGGTGACTGTCATTGTCATCATCTACTTCATGGTCTTCAAGCACAAGCGCTGACGCAGCTTCCATACCGCCAGACGCGAAATAGCCTGGACGCGGCACAGCCAAAATTCTGGAATCAGAAACAAGCGATTTCAGCGTCCGGGGTTGCTCATCTGTCTCAAGTGCTAAGCGCAGACTGAGTCTGCCGAAGCCGCCCTAAACCCGAAGCCCCGCTGCTTCCTGCAACTACAGGCCTGGAGCAGCTCGCTGTAGGGGTTTCTGGGGACCAGAAGAAAGTGTCGGTCACCAGATGAAGCATGTTGCAGTTCCACATTTGCAGATTGCTCTCTTATCCTGATCCCCAGATGCTCGCCTCATTGAGCCTTTTGCAAAGAATTACAAAAGTTCAAAGGGCCGATTCTTCGAAGTCACCCGGCAGTTGTTGCATGTGTCTTCAAATCCTTGGCACGGAACACTTTGGGGCGACCGAAACCAAGCCAGGGCGACTGTAGTTGGCTGCCAAGGCGTTTAGGGATCATCAGATTGAGAGCTATGTGGGATTTCGGGATCCTTGTTTCAAGACCTAACTCGCCCTTCGGTTCTGCATGTTCGGTTCCGCTTTCGTTCAGCAGCCGGGTGGCGTGTCGACCAGTCCTGCTTCAAGCAGATCTAGGGAATCATGAAGGGCATTACATTACATCGAACATGCCCAGTCAAGACCTCGTACCACACTGCATGACTGAGTCTGCAAGCAGCTCTGAAACCTTATCAGCGCTAACGAGTTTCCACTTCGGAGCCCTCTGCATCACGGCAATTGATCGGTGTCCACCGAACCCGAGCCCCTAAAGCCTCCCCCCCCCCTCAATGAACCAGCTTTGGGGCCTCCATCGCCGGATGTATCTCTTTAAGTCACCATGGCGGAAACGCCGATCGCCAACGGTGGCACTGCGGATGTGCCCCTCGCCGAAGTTGAGATGTGAGGACTAAGGTTTGGATGCGGTGCTTTGCCAGCGGATGCCAGGAGAATTCTTCCTCATGGGTTATATTCTTGTGTTGAGAAGCAAGCCTTCGTGGTTGACAACAGCGCCCACGCTTGTTTGAGCTTCTGACTGCCTGGCTTCACGGTTTGCTTGCTGTGTTTTTGCCTTCCCAGCATGTCGATTCGGTCCCGGCATGCGCCTTGGGTTTCTGTTCCGCGGGGTTTAGTTTCTCCTACGCCCTGCGGCTTCTTGCTGCTACTTGTACTGCCTGATTGCTAATTCCTGCGTCTACTGCGCTGCTCACTCCTAGTCTTCATGGTAGTAGTAGCAGCAGCGCTGCTACTCCTACTACTAAAGTCACTGTGCACAAAGCCAGCCACCTTCACAAAGCCCGGTTTCGGGCAGAAAGGGTCGTGTCATACGCACTACCGCTCAACACCGAAACCGAAGCGCACTCTCTTGGCCCTCAAGCCAGTAGGGTTTCCGCACCCCATCATCCCCATGGCAGCTAGCAAGCATGAGTAAGTGAGGCCTGGCAGCCGCGCGCCGCAGTGTCAGAGACTGTTGTGCCTCGCCTCAGGGAAGCTTCTTGCGACGGTTTTGAGGGCTTTGGAGTTCGGCTATATACACTTCCCGTTCCCGGTCTCGGGCAGTTACATAGCACCGGGCTCAAAAGAACTTATCTTTGTTGCATGATCTGTCGTTATGACAAGGCTTCCAGCACACTGGGATGTCTTGCCAGCTGTTCGGATCTTGCTACACACAACCATGTGCAGCACACGCTCCGCATTCATGACCACCTTCCACAATACATCCATGCAGTTATGTGGGGTAAGACTTGACCCAAGGGTTCATGCGCATGGGCACTCGATACCTGAGATACCATCAGAAGAACAGCCAGTAACATGTCGTTCAGCGGGCAGATGGAAGTCGACACCCGAAAATTGTCCGCAGGCTTCACCTCCAAACGGTCCTTGGAGTCCTTGAACCCTACAGGAAACCTACATCCCCCTACCCGAAGAGCCCTCGAGCAACTAGAGGTGCATGGGGGGATCTCTCCTTGAGGTCCGCGCCGAGGCAGGGGCTTCTCGAGTTGCAGCACAAATCTGAAGAGTCCAGATTCGGTTGCGGTTGCGTCCCGCATTCCGGAGTCTCTGGACCACTGGGGTGTTGAAAACGGGGGGTGTCAGGGCGCGACGGGCAGAGCGAGTGAGCCACTTCCCAGGTGCCTAAGGCATTCTTGGAGGAGCACCTTGGCATCACGAGCACAAGATGCCGAAATATTCGTCAGACTGCAGCGGTCCAGCGGTAAACTCGAAAGAGTAGGATCGTTCCAAGGCCTAAGCCTGAGTCAGCCACTCAGTGAACCTAGGCCTTTGGGTTGCCTGCGTTCGCCAGCAAAAATCAGAATAAAAGGGTCTTCAGGGCACGGGTCTTCTTTTATTCGGGAAATACGCTTCCTTGCTCCATGTGTTCCTTCTCAGGTACAAGCTCCGACCGAATGCGGTCTTGGCCCCGGGCGCCGGGGAATGTGGACCAGCGCCCTATGAGTGCTGAGTGTACTAAACCTCTCACAAGTTCTAGGACATAGGATCAGCCTCAGCTCTTATATCAACTTTCAGCAGCTCAGCGAGACTAGGCCAGAGTTGCCCAGAGGCCATAGTTTGCCCACACGGAATTAGAAGCATCCAAGAGTATGAAGCCCAGGTCGTGCAAGTTGAGGGCCACCCCCTTGGCTTTGCCGAGACACGGTTGTGGAGCGGCTGCTTTTTCCCAGCTTGTTGTCGTCGGCTTTTCGTTCTCTAACAGGCAGTCTCCTGGACTCCTGAAGTCTCAAACACAAACCTAGCCTCGGCATGTTGAGGCCACATGCAAAGCATGCTGTCGGAGATTGGGCAGCTGAGTGGGGAGGCGACAAAAACAACAGGTTACGTGACGAGCTTTGTCTTTGTCTTGCCTGTGCCAGCATGCATGATGCCGAGCAAGCGCCATGCCTCTTCCTCTGCCCCTGAAGATGGTCTGCACCCGTTCCCTAGACTTAAGCATAAGGTCCTCTAAAGTCGCCTGAAGGCCGGCCTGGCCTTGGAATATGCAGCCACAGGGGCGGCGACGAACACCGCGCTTACCGTGCAGGCACATTGAGGTTCTTCTCTCCCCAACACCCTCTCGCCTAAGCTCCAGGGTGTCAAGTACTTCGGATGTGGGTGCGAGGCTCAAGGATGCAGAAGGCTTTTCGGGGCGCAGGGCCCCCAAGGTCTCCAGGCTCAGGATCTGGAGTTGCCAGGGCCGCAAGGATCTAGCATCGAGGGCTCTCTGAAGTCGATTCTCAGAGCCTAGCTGGGTAAACGACTGCATTGATGACCCTTGTTGAAGGCCTTGCTGCAGCAGGACCAGGGCCCCATGTCGTCGGAGGCCGACGCTTATCCTCATCATCGGCAATTTCAAGCATATGTTGAAATTCAAACATTTCTTTTTGCAGCTTCTCGGCCATTGCTACGAGCTTGCTTGCTGGCTGCGAGAGAGATGTGATGTTGCTGCGCGGGCTGCGAGCGGGCTGCGATCTTGCTGCAGAATCCCCACGGTCTCCTCACGGAAGCTTTGCCGTTTCCTGCGTGATTTCTACATCTTTCTTGCAGCTTTTCTGCAGGTCCCTCACATCTCCACAGATTTCTCACAGCGACACGCACAGCTTTGGGCAACGCTGGAAATGTGCGGAATTACAGCTTTGGTTCCAGGTCATCTCACAGGAAATTCGCAGATACAGTTAACTAAGGCTCCAGTATTTGCAATCAGCGCTGTTCTAGTAGTGAGCAGTTCAGTGCTCCAAAAACTTTCTCTGTTTCTTTCTGTCTCTCTCTCTCTCTCTCTCTCTCTTTTTCTCTCTCTCCCTCTCTCATTCTCTGTCTCTCTCTCTCTGTCTCTCTGTCTCTCTCCCTCTGTGACATTTAGCCTGTTTGGGCCTGTTGAATGAGGCGCCAACTCGAGAGAGGCCAGAGCAAGACCATGCGTTAACCCACATCGCGAGGCCATGAAATCTCCAGTAATCACAAGTGGCAACTGAACACTTCTGGGACGAGATAGGAACAATAAGTACAAGGGGCCCAAAATTCCTGTGAGAAACGAATCGGTCCCAGTGAGGCTTCGGCAAGTGTTTCAAACTAGCATTTGCGGCCCTTTGCTGCCCATTTTCATCAGCGCATTCTATTTACTCATGGGTTCAAGTGTTCCTGTAGTTGTCCTGCGTCTTTTCTCTGTCTTTTGAGTAAGCCCGTTGTAAATCTGCGGTGTCGGTTGTTTCGGTTCTTTTCCTTTTGTTCGTGCTCACGAGAAGGCAATCCGGCGACAGACGCCCATTGTGTCCATCCTCGGTGGCGTCGGCCGTGACCAGCTAGGCCTGCAGGGCGAGGGGAGGGAAGGAAAGTCATCCAGAGACTTTTCCGCAAAGGTTTTGTTCAGATAGCGAGATCGCAATCTTGCAGTTTGGAGGCCTGGTCTGTGTTCCATGTTGGGTTTAAGATCATCTGCCTTTTGGCAAATCAGTACACTGGATGCTGGGCAGGCCTCCATCACAGCTGCAGTTGAGAAGCTGTACTCTGACAGGATACAAGCTGCAAGACTTCCTCAAGCAGGCTGGCTTCAAGGGTCATGTTAGGGTCAAATTGCATGTTTCTCTGGGGGCTCAAGTGGTTGCGAGGTGCAGTTTCTCGGCATAGAGTCTCGAGTCTAGTCTAGAGTCTAGGCATCTCGCCAGACGCAAAGTCATCAAGCTCCTTGTGTGCCCTTTCCTCTGGTCTGGCGCTGCTTCAATACACAGACAATACAAAGCACGACCCGCGAGCTGCACGCCTTGTTCCCCAAACCCGTGCAGCCTCGGAATTCAGGGGTTTCCGCGGCTGACATTCGTCTGTTTCTTCCGTGCTTTGCAGACGGGCATCCAGCCGCTCTTCTCCGAGATCGTGTCTGAGAGCACCGGATGGACTGTCAGGGACTCCAGGTTTTGAGGGTCGCTTTAGCATCGGCAGCGCTGTGTCGTCTTCTCTTCTTCCATCGTTCCTCTCCCCTGGCTACCCGTAGCTACTTGAGTGAATCTTAGCAGCCGTAGCTTCATGTGCCGGGACGATGCTTCGACCCAACAGCTTCCAGAACTTCCACTTTCCGCTACGTCTTGGCGCGGGGATGCAAACTTAAACTCCAAACCTGGTATACCTCGATGGTTTCCCATGCCCGCCCCAATCCTGCCGGTGGGCGGGCATCGCAGCCTCGCAGTTACCTCCGAAGAACAACGGTCTTACCTCTGTGCTTACAGACGCATGCAACAGGTACAGGACTTCGACGGGCCCTGATGCAGTGTGGTAGCCCTGCTTTCGTATGTCTCCCCATTCTTTCCCTCCTTCCCTCCGGAGGTGCTCGGAAAAAAGCTGTTGAGAAAGTCTGGCGACTTTCGATTTCATTTTTCTCTGAGTGAAGCCCTCCTTCCCTCCTTCCCTCCTTCCCTCCTTCCCTCCTTCCCTCCTTCCCTCCTTCCCTCACTCACTCACTCTCTCTCTCTCTCTCTCTCTCTCGCTCTCTCTCTCTCTCTCTTTCTCTCGTAAAGCCCTCTCCTATCCCCGAGCCATTTCATCTCGTCTCCTCTTTGAGGCCTTGCTGTGCGCGAGCCGGCGGGAGCGGGCAGAGAGGCGGTCTTGGACACAACGGGTTTAGGGCTTAGGGCTTAGGGCTTAGGGCTTAGGGCTTAGGGCTTAGGGCTTAGGGCTTAGGGCTTAGGGCTTAGGGCTTAGGATACTTGTCGGTTTACATTTGCCAGGATCACTCACCCTAACGGAGAAAGAATCCTTTGGCCTTCGCCCTGCTTCTCGGAGAACCTGCGCAGGCCGGCCTTGTCGTCACCAAGCGAGGCCTGACACGGTGTCACCCAGAGCATGTACAGCTGTCCAGTTATGTCCTCTGGTAGAATGATGCTGAGAACCACGAACTGTCTGTTTCGATGCATGTTTGGGGTATTCGTACTGTAGCCCACGACAACACATCACGCCATACTACGACGCAAGCCACGGCACAGCTTCTGAAGAATTGCCGAACCGAACCTGCGGTTGACATGCTTAGACCTTTTTGCATAAGTCCATGGCCTACTTAGAATACCTAGACCCGTCATGAACACTGAATACTGCAGGCTGCTAGGGGGCCACAGAGATTGAAGATGATTGAAGCTTTGGGTTCGACCCCTTGCTTGCACGTCATGCACCTCTTAAGCCAGAACCGATTTGCACCATCAACCCTGCAAGAAAGCCTGCCACGAGGACAAGGGCGACGGCCCCCACAAGCTTGCTGTGGTCTACCGCGCGATTCAGGTGCCGGTCTGAGGTCGGTTTTCGCCAGCAGGAGGATCCTGTGCAGTCGTCCAAAGACAAGAGGATTTCTACGTACGGCGTGCCGCGAGTTGAGAAGCCCAGCCATTCCATGCTTTAGCAACAACCCACGGCACACCAATGGCAATCAACTTGGACCACAGGGTGAGAATCGAGAAGCATAAGAAAGCATAATGACTGCCCGGAGCATGCCTTCGGCAAGTGCCGGATTCAACATCCTTTGAATGTCGGCGGACAAGAGAAGTCCACCTGTGCAAGGCCGGCGCCGCCAACCAGCCGCTCAGCTCCAACTGCCCATGTTTGGCGAGCCAATGCGAGCCACGAAGTTTAAAGAATCTCAGAATCCCCTTGAGGGTTTAGGGTTCAGGGTTTCAGGGTTTAGGGTTTAGGGTCTAGGCGGGCGAAGTCTCTTGGAAAAAAAGGGTCTAGGCGAGCTTAGAACCTTCAAGTTCATCAGCATTCAGCCGAAGGTACAAGCTGGACCACTTGCGCTTCAAAGTCTGGGAGCAAGTGGAAGCTGCGGGCGTTGTCTACGCGGAGGCGATGGCTCAGAGCTTGCGCTGGGCACCCTATATGTACAGAAGGCCTTAGCGCGTCATAGAGCGTAGTGAGTAGTGAGGTTTGCCTCGCAAATTGCGCAGAACTATGTGGTGGCGAGCTCTGCTTGAGATGTTTGAGGGCTTCATGTGGAAGTCCAAGCCTGGAGATTCTTGGGCTTCCGAGTCCAGGAGGAGCCCTACCAGTCGTTGCCTTTGCCGAACATCGCCAAACCCAACGGCAACAAGAACAGATAACAGCAAACACGTTGCAAGATGTTAAAACCAAACAGCCGAAGAGTGACCTCAAGAGCCTTCGATAAATATTTCCTGGAGGAGCCCTCCAAAGGTGTTACCCTCAAACCCTCAGATGGGGGGCCCCTTGTGGCCTTTCTGGCAAGGCGACCTTCCTGACCGTCTCCTTCGAGAGTGTCAAAATCCTGGCAGAGTTCAGGGCTCGGTCCGAAAATAGGGGACCCCCAAAACAGACCCCCCAAAAGTAAGATTCCCCTTATACTAAGGACCCCAAGAAGGTACCCTACTGCTTGTCTCTCTCTCACGCGAATCCAGTTTACTGGCGGAAGCTCTGGAGATCCGTTGAAAGGTTGCCTTGTGGCTTCTGGATTTTTCCATTGCGCTTTGCATTCTTTGATGTTGCTGTTTACTTCGGCACAACGATGCTGGACGAGCTGTTGGGGTGTATGTGGGTTAAGGACTCTGGCTCCTGTCTGGGGTCTTTCGAGCTCGGGCTTAGACAGAACGCCTGTTGCAAAGGGGTTCTGCGTGGTATTGGGGTTTACATTCAGGGGCGCAAGGGCGTTTATCAGTCGACATCTTCCGGCTTTGTGGGGTTGTTACTTAGAGTTGCCAGTGGAGGGGTTGAGGTGGACCGAGTGCTGCGCTGAATTCTTCAGCTCGTGACGCATTCAGTGGCTTTTCGGGGCTGGTTTCATTTTTGTGTCTGAGTCACTCTTGCAAGCTTTGCGTGTTTCATGCGCAGCCAGGGACTTAGCGGCGACTTGTAGGCGACGTCTGCATTGGGACCAGTCTACCGAGACCCAATGCAGAGCCACGGTTGATGAAACCCTAGACTGCATAGACATGGCCGAGTAAGCTGATGCTCAGAGCCTTTTGGCAAGGCATTGCGCGAAGATGGGCAACACCTTCTGCTTGAACCTTGGCGTTCCAAGGAGGTTCTTCCCAAAGCTTTTACGCCCAACAAAAACACCCCTAAGTTATTGCTCAAGATGCCACTTGTAAGCGAAGCGTCTTAGCCCAAGGAACCTCTCGGCACCTTACGTGTGCCGCTACTTCGGCGACCGGATTCTGACGGCATGGGCCCCATGTTTGGGGTAGGGCTTGTCTTGTCTGATGTTGCACGTTATCCTGGATCGCAAGTTTCTTAACACCAAATGCAGGTCATGCCATACACAGACTTCGTGTTTGGCTCGGAAACCGCACCCTGGCAACGCATGCTAGTTGTGTAGGGGCCCTCATACTGCAGCTCAGCGCCCTCCTGCTGCGCGACGTCACGAGGTCATTCAGCTTCTGTAGGCTGATTGTGGGGACTTCAGAGGAAAACGGTGAGACATCGGCTAAGCGCAAGATAAGCATCAACCCTAAACTGTCGAGGCCTTAAGCCACTGAGGAAAGGCTTGGCCCGAAAGAACGACGTCGCCCCCTGCACAAAAAGGGGCGAATGTCATTGAAAGTCCATTCAGCTGAGGTTCTGAGTTGTTCTGAGGTTCGGGCATGGGGGTCGCTTCTCAGTCCAAGGAATACATGGCGCTCGCAGAGCAGAAGAAGTCCGAGGGCCTTTGCCAGGCATCAGCCGTGCCTGCCTGTGAATCTTCAGCTTGAGCATTCGAGTGTTGGAGCTTGATCGGCTTGATCTGCAATCAGCCTTGCACGTAGATCACCACATCAAACCATGAATGGCGAGATCGTCCCGACAACAGGTAGAAACATGCTAGCTCAACAACTTCATACAGTGTTCCCTGAGGTGCGAAAACAGGGTATTCTTCTTGACAAGTCCTGAACCAAGACTTTTGGGCACAAGAGTTCTGCGCTAGAATCCTCAAGTAGTCTGCACATGACCTGTAACGCGCCCTGACAAGCCCCGACGTGCAGGATGTCGACTCTGCCAAGACCTGAGCGGCAGGCTTCTGTAAATAGAAATCGGCATTCTTGTTGGCACCTTGTTAGTGACCTTGTTGTGGACACGGTTGCTCGTAGCATGGGCTCACCGGCATGAACTGTTGTGATGAAGTGATGAACTGGACTGTGCAAGCGCTTGCTGCTTGGGTCTTGGGGAGACTTTGCCAAGCGACCCGAAGACAAGGTAGCCACCTGGCTGGCTCGGATGCCGCGCTCTGATGGTGAGGTTGAGCGCCGGCGGCACATCGCACCTGGGCGTGGATGTGTTTGAGCCATTTTGACCCTGAGGGCCCTGAAACATAAACTCCCGAAGCCCTCTTGGAAGTGTCGGTTCGCAGTTTGCGTGGCTCAGGACGAGGGTGTTTAGCATTGTGCATCGGGCGCTCAATGTTCAGGAGAGGCTTTTGTACGTGCCGGCACGCACGCCGGCAGGAGGCGCCAACAATCTACAAATTTGGTTGTCCAAGTCTTCAATGTCAACATCTGCTCCAACCTCCGAAACACTTCCGAAGCCTGTTCGTATTGTCCTGAGGTGGTCACTTGTGGCTCGCGTCCGTCGCTTGTGGCCTCAACGTGGCGCGGCTACGGTGCCGGGCCCTCTGTGACCCCACAGGTGACATGAGGTTATTCCCCAAACCAGCCTGTCAACAGTAAAGGGTTCCTAGTCACCCTTTGTGGTCATTCTGTACGAAGAAGTTCCTAAATCCATTCGATTCGCAAGGCTCAGGGTCGTAGCCCCGAGTGCTGGGGTTTGAGAGTGTTGCTGAGTTCTTCTGGCCAGGACATCATAGCCCGGATGCAAAACAAAGGGCAAGCACGGGTAGGTAACTGATGCCGGCGGGCCCCCCGGCGCCAACGGCCCGGACCATGCGTTTTCCTCGAAGCCTTCGAGCCTTTGGGACGAACAAGGTGCGCGCTCGCCTAGGCAGGAGCGCGGCCACTCTCGAAACGGTCGGAGCTTTTTGGCTTCTTCATGCGAAACTGCCGTCTCCTTAGGACGTCGGTGTTCGCTAAGCGCCAAACTGTCGTCGCTTATGACGTATTTGATCGCCAACTGCAAAGCTGTCGTGGCTGTCCGCTGTCCGAGCTCTTGGTGTCTTTTGAACGTGCTCTTGATCCTGGAATTTTCTGGCGTCTCCACACGGTCTCTTGCTGTTTGGGGTCATCTGAGTATAGGATAGAGGGATTAGTACCCCAAGAGCCCTTTCCCTTTTGTCTGATTTCAACGGTCAAGAGAATCCGGACATCTGGGATTGTTCTACAACTTGGGGAGTTTACTAGTCAGGGCTTGGATTACGCTTTGGCGCCCACCCAATCAAAGCCCAGACGAGACAAGGTAAAGGTGCAGAGGTTCCCCGTGCCACCGGCCGGGGCCTGAGAGCGCGAACGACGCGCGGTCCGGGAAGACTGAAACTTCCCTCCTGGACTCGGCCGACTCATGCGGTTTCTTCATTTTCCTGATAGTAATGGTGATTTCGATCATGCCCTTGCGTAGCAAGACCCTAGGGGATGGCGCGGGAGAGAGAGAGAGAGAGAGAGCTCATCAACAGCGACCAGTGCAAATTGAATCAGGAATAATGTCATGACGGGCAGTAATCGTAGTGCAACACGAAAGGGGTAATAAGTATGGCTAGTTATAAGTAGGAAGCAGCACATACACAAGCAAGAAGACATAAGTTGTGAGCAATAAGCAAATTGACAAAGAAGAAGTGGAACATGATAAGGATCGTTGAAAATAGTCTTGGCAAAAGTTTATCAAGCACGTTTTTTGTAGCAATCGCGCTGAGAAAGTTACGACATGCTGAGTAACAGCACCAACGATAAAAATGGCAAGCATCAAACGCAACATCAATATAACAAATAGCTACAGTAATCAACAGAAAAAATGCCAAAGATGCAAGAGACGGTGATCATTATCATCAGCAGCATCATCATCCTCCTCATCCTTCTCTCCCTCACCACCATCCTCTTCCTAAGCGTCATGGTCTAATCAGAACATGCTAGTGGTTTTCGGATGGCGTACACCTTCAGGCACTCATTGTTGTAAGTTTTTAAGGCATGAAGAAATGAAGCCTGCACCCTGTGCTAGACCTGGGTAAGTTGAGTTGCACCCGAATCACGGTCACTGTCCAAAGTCTGGAGCCACCAAGATCACTGTTTCTGCTCCTTGACCGGAACATGTCAAATGCCGGCCTCAACGACCCTTCTCAAATTTGAAGCCCCAAGTATGGGAACCCATAACACCAATCGCAGCTTTCTTGAGACCAGGTTCGGAATCGCAGCTTCGTACGGAAAGACGGGGCCGGCGATGCATTTGCAGGCATGGCGGGGCTAAGGCATGACCACTCAGATTTCTTGCATAGGCACCAGCCAGAACGTGACCCTATCTTGGCACCACCTCATGAAAGCGCCAGCCGGGCCTGACTTTCGTCTTGCTTTAGCAGTGGTGTCGGACGACACTTGGGCGAATTCCTTGAGTAATCAAGAGGCTGTGAGGAGGCCCAGGGCTGCATAGAGGCTGACAGTTTTAAGGGGCAGCCTGAATTGAACCAAGCGGGCATTGGCAACCGGCAGAAAAGCTAAGCAATGCTGGTGGTCCCTAGTGACGTTTGTCGCGAGGTTCGTGTGAGGTGAGTGCTCTCGCAGTTTGCGCGCTCTCTCTACTCTTCCATCCGTGCTCCGGCCACAGGCCTGCAACCTGGATGAAGCCCAAAGTCCCCCCCCCAACACAATAAAAAATAGCTTCAGCAAAAGAAAGACGTTGTGAGTTGTTCTTTTACCAACAAGCCGAAGTCCAACTATCCCAAGATGACGAGGACTTCCAAGGCCGTCCTTCAACCAGGAGCTCAGCACACAGCAAAAGTTTAACCCTAAACCCTAAACCCTTTTCCCAAACCCTAAACCCTAAACCCTAAACAGAACAAGCTTGCGCTGGCCAGGCGGATTCCTCTACGGGCTGATGCATGAGGCGGCTTGCACCAGAATGGCCATGAGAGTTCGAAAATAGGGGTACCCTATTTGGGGGTTCCTTTAGGTTACCCGTCTTTGCGGAAATCCCCAAATCCGAAACAGCTTGAGTGCATATCTGTCACTAAACAAAGCTGGGCAGGCTGATGTGGACAGCTGCGTTCAGCTGGCGCTCTATTGCCTGGGCCCCCAGTCATGGCAAAAGCGCCGACTGCAAGTTTTAGGGTTTAGGGTTTATGGATTTAGGGTAATTGGGTGTTTACAATAGTAGGGGTACCTTATTGGGGTCCTTATTGTAAGGGAATCCCACAATTTGGGGTCTATATTGGGGTTCCCCTATTTTCGTAGACCCCCCCCCCCCCACGCATTGGGAAGCCTGAACAGCCCTAAGTCCTGGTTCCTGGCAGCGTGGGAGTCGAAACCTTGTGTTACAGAACTATACCAACTACTTTTCGCCAAAAACTCGTTTACGAGAAGTAGTTTTAGGAAGATCCCTGCGAATGAAAGTGGCGAGAACAACGTTGCTTTTATGCAAAGCTTGTTTGTCGTAACAAGCATCGTTTCAGAAAACAATTGTCTTTGTTACGAGAAGCCCCTGCATATGAAAGTTGCAGAAGCCACTATTTCGTAAAATTGGTGTCCGCAAAAAAAGTCCCTGCACTTGAAAAGAGCGAGAAAAGCTCCTTACCGCAAAACACGGATGAAAATTGTGAGAGAGGATGCTTCGCAAAAAGGATTGATCGCAAGAAGTCACGTTTCTCGAGCCTTGGAACCTGCACGAGTTTGAGAATCCTGTACAAGCTATAGCAGCTTTGTGCTAGAATCGGTTTTTGCAAATCACACAGCTTCTTCAAAAAAGCCTTTTGGCCAACTGCGGCGTTCGCCAAAAAGCGAGTTTTTATTTTCCGCAACTGGCTGCTCAAGCAAGACAAGCATCGTTGATCACAAAATGCCTTCCCCATGTAGTGACCTTTTCTTCGCACAAGGTTGTTTTTGGCAAAAGGTGTGTGCACACATATGTTTGCACAAGACGTTGTTTCCAGGAAAGCTGTTGTCCAATAGAAGCCAAGACAAGAAGTTAGTCTGCAAGATTAGAAAGGCGTGTTTCAAGAATAAGTGTTTCTTCGGATGCATTCTCGCCATCAGGTAGCTTTTTGCGGAGTCTGTTCGCGAACAGCTGCTGTAGAGCTACTTTTCAGGTGCATTCTCGCCGCGCATCAACGAAAAGAAAAAAGACGCACTGGACAGCTGCTGTGCACAAAAAACTGTTTTTTAGGGAGGTCGCGTGCGTCTTCCCCAGAACGTCAAAGAACCATCGCGCACCAACACAGGCGCCAGCGTGGCAGTACAGCGGACCGGACCAGGCGAGGTGCGAGGGCACTGTCTGCGAAGAGCTTCGGATCTAACATGAATCTAACATTACTGAGAAAGTCAACAATAATCTGAATAATATCAAAAATAATAAGAAAAAAATACTAATTCGAAACATCACAATGGCCTCCTGCTGAAGGGCCTTGAATTCGATCAGGCTACTCCTTCAAGGACAAGCCCAGCCTGGACAAGACATGAGGCACCATGGACCTAAAGCACGTTTAGCACCCTGAAGGGGTTATAATGTGGGTGATAAAGTACAGTTATAATTGGGTTACGAAGTACCATTGAATCTCCAAGCAAAGCATGTTTGCGAAGCCGAATTCAACATGGACGTTCTTTCCATGTTGTCCCAACAAGCCAGCCTGTTGTTTTTGTTGGGGGTCTGTGACTTTGTATTATCATACAGCACCTGCCCTGCTATCAGTAGGAATACGACAACATGTCAGGCTGCGGAAACTACGCTGCTTCATGAGGCGCGCCTAAAGCTAGTGCGTGAACGGTGTCGCAGACTGGTGGAAAACATGGCCTCTTGGCTGAAGGTCTGCGTAGTTTACCAAGCTGACCATGTCAGAAATGATAGGTCATAGGATCTGCAAGACTCCAGCAATTCCAGCCTGATTTCCGACTGACTGTTTCCTATGGCATTGATCTGCAAGGGTCCCACACTTGATTCTTGGAGTATAGTTTTAAGAGCTTGGGTCTTCGCTCAGCCTTTCCTGGCTCCCATGCATCTGAGGGACCTCAATCCCTGGAGCCCTTGACCTCTGCTCTGGGCAAAACAATCCTTCCAAATGCAGCCATCAACCCCACCAGACATCACAGTTTTCACACATTCGGGAAGTCACAGCTCAGGGCTCCGTGACATCATAGCCGAAATCATGCCAGTAGATGACGCAGGGTGTCGGCACATCTGGGGTGCGCACAGGAACTCGGCCTTAGGTTGGGGGGAGCTGGCACAAGCTCCCCCCCATGCCGCGGACGTGCCATGGCGGCGAGAGCCAGAGCGTCCTGGCGTGGGAATTGCAAAGGACAGATCAGAGGCGAGCAATGCCTGGCTTTGAGAGCGTTGTCAAATGCCCGTTGCCTAGTGGACTTTAAGACGTGCCATATTGGATCAAGTTTGGAATGTGAGACGGGGAGAGAAAGAAAGAAAGAAACAAAGCGGAATGCAACCAGCGAGGAGGAGGGAGAGAGATCGAGCGAGCTATCTCCAGTTCTGTCATGCTTTGGGAGGTTCACGATGATGGCCGCCAGGCACCAACCAGATGGCTTGACTCATCTAAAGTCAGAAAGTCTACCCCTTGGCTGCTACGGTTGATGCAAAGCATTGTTGCAAGAAAGCTGCTATTTCCTATATTTCTTGTCCAGATGCTCCGCAGAAACACTTGCAGTGCCTACACAAGGATCAGACAGCGTGCCACCCTCACCACTCGCACAGGCTGGCTGTCCGCATGCCCCTGTTGAAAGATAGGCCTCTTTGGCCAGCTCCGTTGAAGATGCGAGCGATGCCAGCGCGAAGCACAGAAAGAGTGCCGGAGGTTTCCTCGGCGGTTGGTCGCTGTGCCTTTGCCACTCCAAAGTGCACCGCGGTCAATTCGCAAAGTGAGTTGGCCTCACGTGGCCAGCGGCTTGGGGTTCAGGGGAACCCTAAGCCGGTTTGGCATCGTGTTGGCCAACTCACAAAAAGCTTCGATTCTTGAATCGTGTCTCCAAGCCGCCTGCTGTCGGTGTCTACCCAAGCAGCAGACAGCGAGCCACCCTCACCACTCGCGCGGCGGCTGGCTGGTCTGCATGCCCCCTGTTGAAAGATAGGCCTCGCATGCTGTGCATGCTTCTTCCCTGGCTCCATGCCTCAAGGCTTTTCGTCTGTGTGCCCAACCACGGCAGCAACATATCTTGCATCGGGAATCAGGAGGCGCGGAGCGGACGCACGATCTTTACATTTACCCGGTTCGCATCACTTCGACTCAGTCGCCGATGTTGCTGCTGCTCGCACAAGATGTGCTCGTGCTTGTCAGGCTCCTAAACTCGAAGTTTTAGGCCAGCTCAGTTGGAGATGTGAGCGGTACCAGCAGAGGTTTCCTCGGCGGTTGGTCGCTGTGCCTTTCTCCAAGGTGCACCGCTGTCATTTCGCAGAATGACTTCGCCTCACGTGGCCAGCGGCTTGGGGTTCAGGGGAACCCCAAGCCGGTTTGGCATCGTGGCCACGTCACTAAAAGCTTCGACCTTGGTGCCCTGAGCTTGCATCGAATCTCTATTCTTCCGGGTTAGGTCCCGAGATCCCGCAATCCCCCTTGGATTAGGCTAGCAATTGTGAAGGGGCATCTTGTGCCTGATCAGGACTTTGGTGGGATCTCGACATGTGGCCTGCCCGAGCGGCACGTTCTACGAAGATCGACGCAAGCATGCAGCGGTTGCGCCAAGTCGGAGCTGACCTCGCGTGGTCCAGCTCACTAAAAGCTTCGACTCCTGGGTTCTGTCTCGAAGCGGCTTGCTGTCTCTGGGTTTTGTAACTTTGGATCCGCAGGGCGTAATCCTTCTGTGCAGTAGGCCGTGCATCCTCAAGCAGAGATCCTTCCAACAAGGCCTCCTACTCTGCGAGCATAGGATTGGAACTTGTAGGCTCGTAAGACGACCCTGTTTGCAACCCCCGCCTGAGGCCTAAACCTTAAAGCTGCTGTAGCTACAGCTGCCTCCGTCGTCATCGCGGACTTCGGGTGTCAAAAGAGAGCCTGCGTGCTTTGATTAAGATTCTTAAGATGGTAAGTATGCAGAATCCCAAGAAAAGCCATCAGTCTATCCGCTCGCTTGCCTCCTGAGAAGCAATCACAGGCGGCAGTGGTGGCCCTCGAAAACAAAGACCTTATGTCAGAAGGTAGACATTCTGCAACAGTTGACCTCGTGCACTTGCGTCATGCGCGCAATTGAAGCATCCATCCGCGACCCCCTCGTGGGAGTCGTGGGAGTCGTGGGAGTCGTGGGCCTGGACTTTGATCCTCCGCGCTGAGCCGCTAAGCCCGACTCTCTTCGCGCAGCTCTATTGGCGTCTGCACCAGACCCGAGAGAAAGCTGAAGGTTCCGGGCAACATAGACCTTGCCGATGTCGGAAGGATGAAACGTGCAAAATTTCGTGATTCACGGGTCTACTTGTAAATGTTATCAAGTTTTGATTTAGCGTCACGCGGCACACCTCAGCTGGCCTTAGAAGACCTTGGTGCCCAGAGCTTGGGTCGCATCTCTGTTCTTCCGTGTTAGGGGTCGGAATCTTGGGAGACATCGACAGCGCAATCCACCTTGGATTCTGCCGGCAATTGTGAAGGGACCTTTGCGTTGGGGCCACTGGGCGGTCCGATGTGACATCTAGTGAACCCCTGAGCCGGACTTTTGGTGGCATCTCGACACGTGGTCTGCGTGTGTCAGCTGCTTCCCTTCTCCCCCGTACCGAGTGGCATGTTCTGCCAAGATCGACGCAAGCATGCAGCGCACTTCGGCAAGTTCCGCGAGACATCAGTGAACGCGAGCAGCTGCACTGCCGTGCATTCACGAAGTGAGCAGCATGGCACGTCGCATTCCAAGATGACTGGAGGTCTGCTGGAACTGTGAGCAGGCGCCGAAGCTTCTGTACCTTTATGCATGCAAGGGAGGCGCAAAACACCTTGCAAAGCGACGGGAACAGCTGAGAAGCTTGCGCTCATTAGCCCCAATAAGAAATTTTGGCAGCCGAAGCAACCATTTGGTCCAGATATGTCCAGATGGTCCAGATGCTTTCATTCATAGCTTAAATTAAGGTGGTTTGGTGCTGCAGTTCTTCCACCCAACTTAGGACCTCAGGTTTTAAAAGCTGGGGCATAGGCGCCCTGCATCGGACGGATCACACAGGCCGACCAGGGAAATTCCATTCCAGGGCCAACACACGAAAACCCCTCCACATCGGCCTAGAGGGACCAGCATTACGAGCCCGATGACATAGATGTGGGGAAAGCCATCTCTTTACGGATGTCTCCTCTTTGGCCCCTGGGGCTTCGAGCTTCACAACCGACAAGCCGGAACAGCATCTCGCAGCGTTGACCGCAACCGCGGTTCTCACCTGGGGTTGAGCGGTTTGAAGGCTAAGGGCCGTGGAACTTTGTAACAAGGAGGTTGGACCTCCATGCCTCAAAGTATGTACGGGTGTTAAAGTTCGTCTTCAAAGCGCGGCGATGGCCACAAAGGCCTCAACCCACTTTTGTTGGTCAAAAATGTTGAGACATGTTCCTGTGGCCTTATGACCTAAACCCTTGGTGGAAGAGAGGCGTTCAGTACGATTTTCTGCCGTGACGGACGGCTGGCACGCATGTCCTGCATGTCGTGGGCAACCCTCAACGACTACGTGCCTGTGCGAGGTACGATCTTGCCGAGGGTGCAGTTGCGGGGGCCGCTCGAGACTTAGCTGCTTACGTGTTCCGAGACATCTGAAGTTTGCCTCGACCTTCCCTAAACGTCCAATTGCAAACACACGGTAGCTTCACAAGCATGCGGAGTATACTTGGGGCCATGGCCAGGTGCCTAGACAGCCCAAGATGCTGAGAAGGTGTGCCCTCGACTGGTCAAACCCACAACTCCAGCAGCCCGCAGGGTGAAATCAAAACATGCGGCAGCGGTGGAAGCTGCAAGCCTTCGGTATTCGTTTTTTACCTCGTGTCAGAAAGCCCGCAGAGCAGGTTATTCTTTGTAGCCCGTGCAGGGGTCAGGGGGGTGTTCCCAGGTGTTCCCAAGTCGAATTCCGTGAGGTGAGGTCCTGGCAGATTCTCGGAAAGAGGGTTTGCACCAGGTGGCGGGCCTCCAAAGTACGGGTGCCCTTTCACGAAGGCAAGCCCGACAATCGAGAGGCCGGAGTTGCGTACTATCAGCTCCAAATCGTATAGCGAAGACTCCAGCATCCTTGCCGCGGACAGTTGAGTGAATGAGCCGGAAACCACCGCATGTACTCACAGGCCGCTTGTACAGTGGAGGAAGGCTTGTCGCCGGTAAACTTGCACTCCCTAAACCCTAAACCTTGGTTCGCCAGATTTGCGAAGGACAAAAACCTTGTACGAAGCCTAAGCGTGCCTAAACATTCCTTTTCTTGAGCAGAACTTGAGACAGGCTTGATTGAGACGAGGCAAGTGGCCTAGGAGAGGGAAGGGGCCCTGAATTGATCCCTGGCATCCTTCCGA